TGGCTTCTGCCTGTTTATTTATTCACACTGCAACTCTTTAAGTATTTGCCAAAGTTCAGCCTGTTGTCCCTTCGTCATTAAATATCTATTTTTTGTTATTCCAACTTTCAGAGCCTTCTTCAAAAATATTAAGATAGCCATTTGTCTGAAATGGCTTCCTGCCTGAGCAGGGGGTTGGACTAGATCAGGCATGTCAAACTCGCGATGTTACGTGACGTCGCGTGATGTATCGGAGCTTTTTCGCCATTGCCGGCAATGGGGTGGGCACTGCTCTGGTATGATGAAACCGGCCCGCGGGCTGGCAGTTTGACACCCCTGGACTAGATGATCTCCAAGGTCCCTTCCATCATCATCATCATCATCATCATCATCATCATCATCATCATAATGTAGCCTTTTCTGAATACAAGAGAATATAGATATTGTACATCATTCCAAAAAACCTGTATATCTAAAATTTAAATAAGTTGCTTGAAAAGAGACATCGTATAATCCATCAATTCCCTTGTGTTACAAAGCCACATGGTTAGTTTTCATACAAACTGATAATTTATTCAAATCTCACACCATCTCGTTAAGACCTTGCCCAGTCATGAAGTTTTCAGTTAGCAGAAAAACGATGAGACAAAGCTGAACCCTACAATCTCATAGAGCTCCAGAGTAAATCTGTAGACTGAGAGCGGATAGATAACTTACCAAACAAAGCACTGAATTATTTTGCATCTTTTTCATTTTCTAAAACGCCTGTTTGAAATAAAAATGCTCCTTGTCTCTGCAATGTCTTAACTTTTTATTGATAATTAAAACTGAAAACAATTTAAAAAAAAAATTAAAAACCAAGATTGGGCAAAAGAACCTTGGATGACATCAAAGAAGTGATCTCCAGGAACTATATAGAGATATAGTCCTTTTTTCAGGAAACGTAAGAGATTAATCTTGATGTTGGAATTACAAAATCACAGTAATTTATTAAACACAGTGAACATCAAGAAATAAAATCAGTGATTGATGGGAAGGCTTAAATCCAAAGGAAGACACGTATTTTATGGAGCTGACTACATAAGATGTCCTATTGAGCAACTCAGCAGATGTCACAATAGAATTCCTCCTTAAACATTTTTTTAACCTCAACTATGGCATCTGAATAACCCATGCATTAACTGGATATAGCATTAAACACCCACATACTATAAATGGCATGTAATGGGAAACGTGGATTGGGCCAAGCAACACAAACTGGAATGGAGAAATTCAGAACAGGATTTGTGCTTAATAGGGATCAGCTGCTTTTCCCGGCTATCTCACTTCCTTCGAGAACACGTGTCCATTTGTGTATAAAAAGTCCCTGGTTCAAAAGGTTGTCACCCATTCACCCGAAGCTTCCTAGCTTTGAAAGCTTCCTCTGTTGAGCAAAGGTAAGATATATTTTGTTGCTTGTTCTTACAATAAGAAGACAGAGGGTGGATAGGCACCTTGTATCCTTATCTTAGAATTAAGATAAATCTGGGGGTGGTTAGATAAAACTGCAAATCCTACAGAAAAAAGTATGACATGTTTAACACCTTTTAAGGAAAATAATGATACTAAACAGCCTTTCTCAAGCAGGTTAAAGTTTTAAGGTGAAGATAGGAATGAATAGGAGTGGAGTAAGATCCGCCTGTAAGTGAAAATTGCTTGGTAGGCCAGGTTTATGGCTTACTGTTGCATGAGGCTAGCTGATTATTCCACAAATCATTATTATCTATCTTCATTCAGCTTAGGTGAAATTTATTCATGTGATCTGTGACCAAAGCTATGTTCACATTTAAGAAAACTGGAATGAGAAAAAAATGGAACATGATAGTTTGTTGAAGTTGGTCCTTCACCATCTGTTCTTGCTTTGCAGGCTTGCCTTTAGATCTGCAACCATGAGCTGTCGCTGTTGTGGAGGTCGTGGCTGCTGCTGCTGCCATAGATACAGGCCGAGAACGGTTTACTACGTAGGAAGGCCCAGAACTGTTGGGACCTGTTGCAGACCTTGTGGATGTTGCTGCGGCCGTCCACGGTGCTGCTGTACTCCATCTTACCCATATTATCGCGTTCCAGTCCAGACTTATGGCACCCAAGTAAAGAAATGTTAAAGGAACATTGAGGATGTTAGCAAGACCTGCAAGAGCTACCAGATTCAGACTGCAGAAGCTGCACGACCACCAGAGGGTAGCAAACAGCAGATGCTTTCAACATTACCCCACTGCCCTCTCATGATCATTTGAAATACTGCAACCCAGGTCTCTTTTGAGAGCTAGAGGGATGTGAGAATGTTATGCTCCACTTGCAAGACTTGCTGGATTAACTCTGACTCATCATGCCAAGCTGATGAACAGAAGCCTTGACACAAATATATTAAGCAATACTCTTTTGATCTTCTCTTGGCTTTATTCCTGAAAAGATTAGAACAGTTCCTCGCATCCGAAGGGCAAATGGCACCGTTATTATTTTCTTTTTTCTTATGACTATTGGGTGATCTTTGTCCGGGGTCTGGATCTGTCCTACAGACTGGTTCTATAGCCATTTGCCCTTTCCATGGCCATTTTCCAGTTCTTGTAATCCCTGTATAAGCTTGGTGTTTCAATAAAATTCTGAAATTCTAGAAGTTTTCCCATCCTTTTTGTATTTATTCCTCAGTAAATTTTCAGCCTGTTTGCAATTCTTACTCACTTAGCAATGCTAAAGTAGCCGGAACTGGCTATTTTTATTCAGATCTTGACTTTGTGTAGCCATTTACTTTTTAATTTGGACTGTCTTGTTGTGTGCAGACATTACTTGTTTATGTGCGTGTGTTGCATGTGCTTGTGTGTGTGTGTGTGTGTGTGTGTGATTTAAACCAAGTCAGAGGCAGATCTTCGGGATGCCCTTTAGGCTGGAATAGCATTAACTGTGGCTAATCTTTGATGGAGGAAAAGCTGGTTTAATAGCTGTAGTTCCTCTTTCTAACTTTCATCTTGAAAGGCTGAATCCCTGGATGGCTTATTTATCCCCACTCACTGTACTTTCTTTGCCCCCATTTTTCAATAACTCGAATTTTAACACTCACCACTCCTCCATTTTGACAGGAAAAAGAGGCTTTTTGGGGGCTGAAATGCATCCAAGCCCTCCCGGAAGTAAAAAAAACGCCATTTTGTCTTTTCCTCAGGCCAGCCTCAAGCAAAAGTCCCGCCCACCATCAAGATCCACCAATCCCAGTGCACAGTGGGCTGACTTGGCAGTTCCATGGGCCAATCCGATGCTAAGTTTTTTTTCCCGCCTTTTTCCTCCAAGTTCCTTCCAGAAGCTGCTGGACAGTCTGAGAGGCTGTTATTTTTCTTTAGGAATGTTTAAAAAATGTATTTAGGGGGAAAACCTTTATTTATTAATCAAAAACGTGCCGTTTTTATTTTATTTATCTTTTATAAATGCCTTTACACCTCCTTTCTTTGAATCTGCCTGGGGGTTTTTAAGCTGTTTTCAGAGATGTTTGTATACTACAAATGTTGTGGAAAATCTTATTGGGGTAAAATCAAATAGATATAATAATAAATATTAATGCCAGGATAAATCATGACTACAGTACCCTAAGCTTGGTTAACTAAGGTTTATGGAATTGATTGGAATTGGCTTTGAACTTGAGGGAAAATAAGTTTATTTTTTTACTACATTTTTATTCCACCTTTATTATTTTATAAGTAACTTAAGGCAACAACAACAACCTTGTGAGATGGGCTGGGCTGAAAGAGAGTAAGATTGGCCCATACAGAGTAAAGATAACATTGCTTAGTGCATATTTTTCTAAACTTAAGATTCATATATTAATAACAGCAACAATTATTATTATTATTATTATTATTAATAATAATAATAAAGTCAGAAGGGACTTTGGAGGTCATCTAGTCCAACCCCATGCTCAGGCAGGAAAGCCTATATATCATTTCAGACCAATGGCTGTCCAGTCTCTTCTTTAAAACTTCCAGTGTTGGAGCATTCACAACTTCTGGAGGCAGGTTGTTATTAATAATAATAATAAAGTCGGAAGGGACCTTGGAGGTCATCTAGTCCAACCCCCTGTTCAGGCAGGAAAGCCTATATATCATTTCAGACCAATGGCTGTCCAGTCTCTTCTTAAAAACGTCCAGTGTTAGAGCATTCACCGCTTCTGAAAGCAGGTTTTGACCAGGATGTCATTGGTATCCAGGTTTAGAGTTGCTTAACACGTATCTTAGAACAAATGTTTGTAATCAGAGTCTCTTTGTTTCTGAAAAGTAAACATAACTTAGATTTGGGGGCAGAAGGGGTCTTTCACCTTCAAAATGTTGCTAACATGTGCTTTGCGTGATTGACAGGGCACTCCAGACTTTTCCAAATCAAATATTTGGAGGGTGAATGTTGGGTTCATGGTTGATGAATAGACTGGGATTAAAGGAGCTGAAAGGGGATTTTTTTTCTCCAATAAAAGATAATATTTGTAGCTCAAGGTTGAACTGTGGGGTCCCTGATGCTCTCTGAGCTTGGTGGTTTTCTTGCAGACATTTCATTATCCAACTAGGTAACATCAGTGCTAGCACTGGTAATGTTATCTTGTTTGGTCATGAAACATCTATAAGAAAACCACCAAGATCAGAGAACCCCAAGAACCCCACAGGCTTTTTTCCAACTGGCCCACAAGCCATCTGTAAATTATGGCTTCCAATTTCAAACAGCTATGTTGATAGAAATACTAAAACCATAATTTGCTTAACAGTGGTTTACCAGGTGTACTGTAACTGGGGCTGGTTTTGGGACATATACTATATGTATATGGTTTCCAAAGGGAAGTTGTTTGGGAAATGGGTGTTTGTGCCATGAGAATAAATGGATGATTGAATGAATAAAGTTGTTCACATACTAAACTGGATTAGCATCATGGAGCATGCTTTAAGATAAGTTGCTATTTAGCTATTGTATTTTGAATAAACTATATCCAGATCAGGTAAAACTTTGATTTCCTGGCAGAGTCTGTCATTTGTTTTGCAGAAATCCAGCTTTGACATTATAAAGGATAGAGACAAACAAGTTCCAACAAGACAACTTTGATGATTCATCATTTTATTTCTTTTTCTACATAGCTATCTTCAGAATAAGGAAAGGTTCCAGACACCCAGGAAGAAATGAGAATACCTTTTACCTTAACATACCAAACAAGCTTATTCCTTGGCTCAAGAGAATTCAGTTCAGAGAACAGTGAGGAAAAGAAGAAGAAGAAGAAAAAGAAAAGAAAATGTCACCGTGGTACAGAGGAATTCAGATGAGGGACCTTGGCAGTCTTAGAAATTAGAGACACAATTGGTGGGGCTGTTCTTCTTGGTGTTGTGTTGGCAGAGTTTAGGTCTTCTTATATGGTGGTTGGCTTCTTACTTTTTGCAGCATGGAGGGCAGACAATGGGGCAGCAGGTCTGGATGCAAGGAGGAGCACAGCTGCAAGGGGAGCAGCAGGATTGGCAACAGCTGGACTGGCAAGGGGAGCAAGAGGACTGGCCACAGCTGGATTGGCAAGGGGAGCAAGAGGATTGGCCACAGCTGGATTGGCCACCACAGGAGGACTGACCACAACTGGATTTGCCACCACTGCAAGAAGAGCAGGAGGACTGGCCACAGCTGGATTTGCTACCACCGCAGGAAGAGCAGGAGGACTGACCACCGCAACAGGACTGGCCACAGCTGGATTTGCTACCACCGCAGGAAGAGCAGGAGGACTGACCACCGCAACAGGACTTGCCACAGCTGGATTTGCTACCACCGCAGGAAGAGCAGGAGGACTGACCACCGCAACAGGACTTGCCACAGCTGGATTTGCTACCACCGCAGGAAGAGCAGGAGGACTGACCACCGCAACAGGACTGGCCACAGCTGGATTTAGTTCCACAGCAGGGAGAGCAGGAGGACTGACCACAGCTGGATTTGCTGCCACCACAGGAAGAGCAGGAGGACTGACCACCGCAACAGGACTGGCCACAGCTGGATTTAGTTCCACAGCAGGGAGAGCAGGAGGACTGACCACAGCTGGATTTGCTGCTACCACAGGAAGAGCAGGAGGACTGACAACCGCAACAGGACTGGCCACAGCTGGATTTAGTTCCACAGCAGGGAGAGCAGGAAGACTGACCACAGCTGGATTTGCTGCCACCACAGGAAGAGCAGGAGGACTGACCACCACAACAGGACTGGCCACAGCTGGATTTAGTCCCACAGCAGGGAGAGCAGGAGGACTGGCCACCGCAAGAGGAGCCAGATGACTGACCACAGCAGGGAACACAGCATGATTGACATCCACAGCAGGGCACACACACAAGCACGGCCCCACAGTTTCCACAGGTGTCCCCACAAGAGCCACAGCAATCCCCACAGCAGGTCATCTTTGTAGGCAAACTAAAAAACAAACACATCTATGTAATCGAGGCACTTTGGGTGAACATGTTCAGTGCCAGAAGAGATTTTAGTTTTGTGAACCCTTATGAAAGAACTAGAAATTTTATTGTATAAGATGGATAAGATACAAGTAAGGTCCTTGGGGCTCTCGGAGCTTGGTTGTTTTCTTACAGACTTTTCTTTCTTTTTTTTATAAAGATTTTATTGGTTTTTTTTTCAAAAACATATGTTAATTTTTCCAATCAACGAGTTGTCTGGGATTAGCTATGCTAATACATATTCAATTCCTAATCCTTCATTCTTTCCTCTAACCAACAATAAAATAAGTCCCAAATTTGATAGTAGTCTGTGTCTTCTTTATCTTTCAGTCTCATAGTTAATTTGTCCATCTCTGCACAGTCCAATATTTTCCTGATTATTTCTTCTTCTGATGGCAATCCTTCATTCTTCCAGTATTGTGGGAAAATTATTCTTGCTGCTGTGGTGATGTGTAAGATTAAATAAAGCCTCTGCTTATTAATTTCTTACAGACTTTTCATTACCCAAACTAATATCAGTAGTAGTAAGGAGTAGCCCTACTATTAGCAAACCCTGCTCCTTACTAGTACTGATGATGTTACCTAGTTTGGGTAAATGAAACATCTGCAAGCTAACAGCCAAGCTCAGAGAGCATCAATGACCTCTCATTTCAACCCTGAGCTACAAATATTCTCCTTTAAAGATACAAATAGTGATGTAAATACTTTTATAGGACTTTCCAGTTACTCTAGAGCAGTGGTTCTCAACCTGTGGGTCGGGACCCCATTTGGGGTCAAACGACCATTTCACGGGGGTCGCCAAACAACGCAGTCCGCCATTTTTTCCCCCTTTTCCTTAGCTGTGCTACTTCCTTTTATTCTATTGGCTTTTGAAAGCCAAGAGAATAGACTCTCTTGAATAGAGTCTAATTCTATTGGCTTTCAAAAGCCAATAGGAATTGTCCAGGCTGTCTCTGCCTTGCTGAGCCCGCCAAAAGTCCCATTCTGCAAACGGTGCTGCACCAGTTGAGTAGTCCTCGACTTACGACCGGTTGGGGGTCGCAGCATTAAAAAGGTTGAGAACCACTGCTCTAGAGTCCTAGTAACTGCCTGGGACTATTCTGTGCAATTTTCTTGGCGAGAGTTTAACAACTGGGTTGCTGTGGTCACCTTCTTTCTAGGACTGAAGTTAACTGATTCAAAGTCAGTATCAGCTGGCTTCAGGTAAGGGTCAACAGAAATCAAGAAGGGTTGGACTTAGATTGTTTGTGGGAATGTAAAGATTCTAGGCTGACAATTTATTTAAGTCTTCCCCCAAGCTCTGCCCGCTTGTCTCCTACACATATTTGTAAAGGGAATAAAGGATAATCACTAAAAACAAAAGCACACTGAACTTAACTGTTGAACTATTTCAACATTTTAGGGAAATCTGTACATTTTTTTTTTATCTATTGTCCCCTTTCTTTAGACCAGCAACAGTTGGATGGTACAAACCCTGCTTTAAATGGATTGAATGGAGGTATTTTGGTGAAATTTGTATTTACAGTAATTGGCATCATTCGTGAGAATTTTGTTTTTCGCTACGTCTTTTCTCTCTGGCTATCTGGTTCCCCTAACTTCAGTTAATCCTAGATAGAAGATATTATGGAAGATTTCCCATTGAACTTTCTCTGATCAATAAATGTTGCAACTATTAAGTCTGCAGAGTAAAAGCGAGTATATTCCAGCCCATCCTGTAGTACATAGCCACAAAAAATAAGCTCATAAAGCCACCAAAGAAATTATAAAGTACTCCTAAGAGTTATGTAAACAAATTTCAACATTTTTCATTGGAAGATACTGTAAGGTATATTTCAATACAATATTATGTTCTTACCTTGGGTAGTATCGGTTGACAGTAAGATGAAGAAGTGTGCGAATATTGTGGGATAAGAATCTTTTTATATGACTCCCTGTAGCAGTCCCTAAGGAAATGAAACATCACTTAAGCATGGTCAGTTCTGCCTTGACCTCAGCTGCACGTTTCTGGTCACTTCACCATCATCCGGTACTTTACCCATTTTCATTTTTTTTAATATTTATGATTACTTTGTGTTTGGTCTGTTATTAAAACTCCTTTCATCTAAGAATGTTATAATTAGCTCATGAATCTCAAAGGCATTCAGGATTGCTGTAGTAGGATTAATGTTTAGGGTATGAGTATTTTACAGACTGGTGCTCTGTGCCCTTAAGGTAGAAGGCCAATGAGAGAAATCCATTGATTTATGAGTAAAAAGGAGTCACAACAGAATATCCCACTTTATATGCCCAATTTATGTAGGGGAGGGTGCAGGTTTTGCTCCCAATACTGTGGCAGCTAACCATGTTCTCTTACTGCACAAGGCAATCAATTTGTCATTTACTACTGATTAAATATGAAATATACCAAGCAGGGTTTAAATTAATGAAGCATTGCATTCATGGGAAGTAAATGGCAACAATTAGACAATAATCCTGGACACTCATTTGATGAGTGAAGAATTGGGGGGATTAGATGCAAATGTTATAAAATAATTTTGGTGATTTCTGTTAGCAGATGACAATAAGTCAAGGCTGCATCACTTGCATCTGGTCCAGTTTCTTAATCTGTATTGAAACAGAAGAATGCTTGGTCAATTTGCAGTTTCCTACTGCTACTCTACACTATTCTGGGCTTGTCCTAGGACAAGGGATCACATAATGATGAGCATCATGACCACATTACATGCTGGATCCCTTATTCTCATATAGTTGACCCTTAAACCTGAATCAGGTTTTGCAAGGATTGCCACAGATTTATCTAACAGACAGTTTGACAAAATATTGCATTGGGATATCGTGACAGGGATGCCACTTTTTCATATTTCAATCAATCAGAATAGAGCCGGAAGGGACTTTGGAGGTCTTTTAGTCCAACCTGCTGTTCAAGCAGGAGATCCTACACCCTTTCAGACAGGTAGCTGTCCAGTCTTTTCTTAAAAACCTCCAGTGATGAAGCACCCACAACTTTTGAGGCAAGCTGTTCCACTGGTTAATTATTGTTACCGTTTGGAAGTTTCTCCTTAGTTCTAGGTTGTTTCTGTCCTTGACTAGTTTCCATCTCTGCTTCTTGCCTTGTCTTCTGGTGCTTTGGAAAACAAGTTGATCCCTCTTCTTTGTGATAATCCCTCAAATATTGGAATATTGCTATCATGTCACTCCTAGTCCTTCTACTTTACTAGTACTTTAATGAGAGGTGCAAATATGGAGAAGAATAGAGGGACGTTTGCTTTACAGAGCAACCATGAATTTGATTCTTTTCTATGATGTTTGTGGCCTGAAGTTACATACAAGAATGTGAATGGTGGTATTTGCTGCAATATTGGTTTGTTGTGACACATTTTATCCTTTGCTCCTGTGCCTGTGTTGAGGCTGGCCTTCTCATTGTCATTTAGAAAGGGGGTCAAATATATGTTATTACAACTTTGGTTTCAGATTTTTAAGGGAGGTTTTAACAATTCTAACTGTTACACTGAATGTTAACTGTTGTAGGCCATCTAGTGTAATAAAATGGGCGTAAGTGATGTGGACATTATAAAATAAAAATAAAAACCTCATTTATATGAGCACTGTAGTAAAAAGGCTGGCAAACGTAGATTAATGTTTGGTACAACCCTTTTATCCTTTAATTTAAAAGCCAATTCAGAACGATGAGATGGGTTTATTGATGAATCAACAACGAAACAAGTAAAATAAAGCCAGAAGCTTCCAGAAATGATGGAATAAGTGTAATAATATTTCTCAGTGTCCTAGTTTGTAATGAGTAAACGTCTTAATATTAGTGCATTCAGCAGTCTATTATAAAATTGTCACAGGCAAGACTATTAATTAAAGATGGTTTTAATAATATATTGCAGATTAAGTAGTTTAATGAGAGGTGCAAATACAGAGGAGGATAGAAGGAGGTCTTAGGATCGCGTGAGAACCTGATACTTTTCTGCTCATTAAAGCAGCCATGTCTTCTTTCAGGCTTGAAAACTTTAAAAAATGTCGCTATTTTAAAGTCTTTTTAATGAGTCAGATCTATAAAACAGCCTAACGCAGATGATGTGATCCTTTCATGAAGAGCAGACACCATGAACTCACCCAGGCATAGAGTCCAAGGGAAGATTTTTTTTTCTGAATCACAATAAAAAGGTGATCTTAATTAGCATGAAGGCAATCAAGCATCCATTTGGTTGTTCTAATTCTTAAAAGCCAAAAATTAAAAGCCATATGTATTTATCATCCAATAGATGAGCAGATATTGGCTCTTTGGTGTTCTTATGGAGACAAGGAATTTCAGTTATGTTCCACATTAATTGTATTTAGTAAGATGGAAAAGAATGACCTCCAAATACTGATTTTTTTTTACAAGTGGTGTGGAAACTGGATGTTTTTAGAATCTCTCCCTCAGTTTTTATTTGGTGTTTCACAAGCAAAAACTTGTGAAGACAAAGTTGTATTCCACAATTGCTCCTTGAACAGAGAAACCGTGGAAGATGAAAGTGTCATTTTGTGCATACTTTTGTTGAGTGCCAAGGAATTAAGCCAGAGAGAACAGCATCTAATAAACTAGGTGAATATATACAATAAACTATGATTCATTGAATAAATCACAACTGGCTAAATATACATATAGGACTGAGCTGTGAAATCCTGATCTTCAAATAAGACTCAAATATTTTAGGATCTCTGTGTGTAAACTTAGAAAAAGGACTAATCCTCATTAAAGTATATTGCGGGAATGCCTCCGATCTGTGCACCTGCTAGTTATGTGATTGCTCACATGAGTACAAACCTCTCTATCCACATAATATTTATATGTAATGCCTTCTTTAGGTCTGATGATGTTGCCGTTCGTCCTCCCTCCAGAGGAGTGCGAAATAGTTCCATTGAACTTTAAATTGCTTCTGTACATTTAAGTACAGTGTGGAATTCTGGGTGCTACATTTTGAAAGGGTCATGGAGAATAATGGATATTAAAACCAAATCACTTGAAGAAGAGTTAAAGAGCTGGATATGTTCATTTTGCAATAAAGAAGACCAAAGAAAGATTCATACATGAGCTATGGAATTCAAAATATCAATGACTGAGACACTGAAACGTGTTAATATCTTTTGTAGCATGAAAACATCTGTTTTCTCTGAATAAAG